CTTCATAACTATTTGGTCGTAACACAATTCCAATCATAAATCCCCTTGGGTCACATGGTGGACATCTGGTGCCCTCTTGTGGTAGAAAATCAAACTTCTGCAGCATCGCAGTAAAAAAGGAATAATCTCGCACGAGCTAACTGTTCACCAACACAAACACGTCTTCCTTCGCCAAATGGCATCAGCCTATAGCAGATGAATGTCAAGTTAAGTAACAGCAAGAACGTACTTTTTTAATATGTCAATTTTAATCAGCTGTGATAATGTCGAGTCAGCTATGATTATGTCAAGTAGAATCAGACGCAAGTATCCCATCTTACATCTTTCTTTGATCGACTGGAATAACGTCACCGTTTTTGTCAAGGAAGCGTTCTGGTTTAAATATCCATGGATCAGCAAAGTGTCGCTCGTCGTGGTGAAGTCCAAACAAATTCATCCAAATCTGGATATAGAGCATGCAAAAATTGTGGTTAAACTATAACAATAACTTAAAGGGGCAGCAAGGACTGTAGAGAGAAAATTCAATTTTTTATATTTTTTCTGAGCTATCAGGGCAACATTTGGCTTAATATTTTCTTTGACATACCTTTTTTCTTAAAATGTATGGATAAACTATCAATTTCAGCATTAAGAAGAGTAAATTCAATTCAACGCTTCTATTAAGGGAGTCCCAATTATAGATTTTTAAGATCCAAGACGTTTCAAGTGGAATATCAGCTGAAATAATGTTCATCCTGGGGGTTTCTTTGTAGATCATAAAAATATATGTTAGTCTGTATGAAATATCCAAACTAAGATATATTTTGACACTGGTCCATGATCGTTGAATGGCACCTCTGCACTAATTGTTGCACCTTTAAAATGAATTATATAGTCACCATCATTGTACAATCTTAGCTGCCTTATTGAAATATGTTAAAGCACAACTCAGTTTATCCTTGTACCTGGGTATCCTTTGGAATAAAATACTCTCCTAATGATGTATCCTTCGTGGATTTGTGTGGCACTGCAAACGGGACGATAGAGGTAAAGCGCAATGTTTCTTAGATGAAAGCATCAACGTATGGAAGGTGGTTTCTGTCTTCTAATCTGAGGAACCTAATAACAGAAGAATAAATAGGTATGTAAGTAAGTAAGTAAGGTATTTATTAGAGTCTCACGCTGTACAAATTAAAATACATTTTGATACAATTGATTAAAACAACAGCTCAGCCGGCTCCGGCTTACGAGAGACTTAAAGATCGAATAGTTCTAGGAGTATAAAATGTCTAAAAATGTAAATCTAATATTGCACCTTGTATTATATTACACTTCATAGCATCTTCGTGTTATCATGATTTTATTTATTGTTTTCGCTATTAGTCTTTGTACTGATATAGTGTTCATCATTGTGCAATATTTGCCCATGCTCGATAAGTTGTTAAAGTCCGGTATTTGAAGAGCACATGCTTCTATAAGGGTTTTTCTATTGTCATCGTGTAGGGGGCAGTCAATTAGGATATGGATTTCGTCTTCAACACTTTGGTTGCATAAGCATACTCTGTCGTGTAATTCGACACCTGTGAATCGCCCGGTTTCAATTCTTATAGGGAGGGTTCCTGATCGAATTCGTGCCAAGTAACTACGTTCATATTTATGCATAGGTAATTGAACGTACGGCTCAGGGGTTGTCGCATGCGGTTTATGTAGTCTATATGTTCTTAGTTTATTGCCATGTTCTTGGTTTCTGCGATCGTTCCACAATGAATGATGCCAAATTTCATGTTCAGTAGAGCTCAAACGATGTCCTAGTTGTTTCAAATGTTGTTTCACATTAGAAATTTTATCCTGCGTTATTAGCATTTCAGCTCCGTTGTCTGATAGCAGAGTTTTTACTTTTGATTCCCAGGAACCGCGTAGGCTAAGTGACCAAACATGTATTTTCTCAAGTGTTCGTTGAGGGGACATGTTTTTAATGCGGCACCACATCCGTGCTGATTCGATATTGTGTCGTGTATCTATGCTTGTCCAGCACATGTCTCCTTGTACTGCCGAGTTGGGGGCATGTTGGCCCACACCAAGAAAGAATCGTTGTGCCTTGTTTTGTACAACGGTGGCGGGTGCAGTTGTCGCTTTATTGATGCCCCAAATTCCAGAGCCATACGTCAGCACCGGTGCTACGAGTGAGTCATAGACATGAGTAAATACGTCGTACGACATTCCTCCTGTTGCTCTTGACTTGGCCATTATTGCACCAAGTGCCCGTGAACCGGACTTGGCCAGCACTGTGGCGGTTGCCACCATATCCATGTGCTCGTTGAGCGTAATTCCCAGGTATTTGTAACTCGATGTATAGTCCAAATCGATATCACCACAGTGAAACTGGAAACGTGAGCGTAATGTTGTACGTGGGCGATGGTGAATCACGTTGGTCTTAAGACCGTTAACAGTCATACGCCATTTACTGCACCAAAGATTCATAGTGTCCAGCATACGTTGCAGGTTGTTTTCATTTTCAGCGATTAGCACAATATCGTCGGCGTATAATAATATCCCAACGCGCGTGTCACCTACTGGTACGCCGCATGACATTGCGTCAATTTCATCGGCCAGGTCGTTTACGTAGACGGCGAACAGCGTCGTGGAAATCTTGCAGCCTTGTTTCAAACCAGAGTTGACGTTAAACCATGACGTTAGAGTTCCGTTTATGCGTACAGCGTATTTCACTCCAACATAAAGTGATTGGATTGCATTTAAAATACGTCCTTTTACTCCAGCCAGAGTTAACTTGTAGTACATACACTGTCGATTTATGGTATCAAATGCACGTTTTGCGTCAACGTACGTCGACTGCTTAGCACACTTACGGTTATTAATAATTGACGTTAAAGAGTATATATGATCCATGCAGCTTCGGTCGCCTCTAAATCCGTTCTGGTGATCACTTAGTTTTCGGTTAATCTCAAGCCATTGGATGAGTCTTGAATTGAGCACAGTGCAGTATATTTTGCATGGGATAGACATAAGACAAATGCCACGATAATTCATTGGTACTTTACGATCCCCAGATTTAAAAATGGGGTGGATAATTCCTTGATTCCATATCGAGGGTACCTTTCCAAGGGCAAAACATACAGACGTTATTTTATAGGAGGCATTTGGCAGATCTTTATGAGAATTTCACATCGTCTTGGTCTGTTCAAACAGAATGTGTTGTAATATTTTCGAGGATGAAACTACCATGTATGATCCTTGGGAATTGGCAAATTATGATTTCGTTGGTGCATAATTTACCACAGCTGTTTTACAATACAATCAAAATATATTTTGGAGGATTAAACTAGCATATATGATTTCAAGTTTAAATGCATATTAGAGTGAAATAGTTATTATAGATATCAAGGAATTAAAGATAACAGTGGGACTAACAGAAATAATTCTCGTTTACCTCTCTCTCCCAAGCTTTGCTTCAATAGACATTTGGATTTTTTTTTGAATATCCGGATAGTTCATCAATATAAGAATCCCTGTTTCAATGATGCTCTCTGTTGTTGTGATGCCTATTATAAATAACGTCTACATTTATATTCGCTCAAGCTGACTGATAAAGGTTATTACAACTACACCACATCCTCTATGTATACAATCGGCCCCAATTGATCATTGCACGATTCAGTTATTCATTGTGGATGATATTATGAATCTGATCGGTTGTTATTCTTAAATATCTCTGAGAAATAGAGGCTTCATATCGCTGTAATGACATGGTAGAATTTATCTGCAAAGTTGTATACCTGCGTGTAGAAGATTCTGTATCATCATTCGAACATTGGTATCAGTGATGGTTGGGTCGTTCTCTTGCGATACTGGAGAGGTTAAGCTTTGCATATATAATCGAAACTGAACCTGTACGTATCACTCGACCATATACAAATTCATGTAGCCTTCTCATATAAATAGCCGTTCAAATCCAGTGTTTGTTTAGACTACACCATAGCGTGTAATGATTCTATAGTATGTCATTGATGCGGTTGTATAGCTGGTTTTCTAATACACATTTTAAACGAGCTCGTTTCGTAAGATTTGTGGCGCTAAATCATGCATGACATACATCATCGTGTTCAGCAAGAATTCAACTGTGCATCGAAATCAAAATTGACAGCCTGGTGTTCAATAGACACGAGTAAAATGGTTCCCGTTGACCCAACGTCAAATTTCAAAATCTCCCGTTCTAAACCCGAAACTCTGAAGCTGAAAGAGTATCTGAAGTAGACTAAGCGCGCATAAAACTATGAGCGCTCGATACATTACTTTGTTAATTTTTGTACTTTGCGTTCACGGTTACGTTGTGAAAAACATCGTTAGCTTAACCTCTCCATTATTAACCAGTCGACCATACCCCGAATCCTGCCTTTCTCCATCGTATCCTAAAATGTATATGTAACCCAACAAGAATGATTTTTAGGGATGGAAAATAGTAACAGAACACAGTCAGTAAAAGAAAAAGAGTACACAAGTGATATGAAAAACAAAACCAAACTATCCCAATCATAATCTAACGTTAAAAGAAACAATTATCATAATTAATAAAACAAAGGGACATTTCATTCATACAAAAGTATTTGCCATCCAATGTTGAAGAAAATTAATTACCAATACAATAGACAATACTGTTGATGATTTTATAGATATACCTTTGAGACGAGAATCCATCTATCATACAGCTCATTTCGAATAGTAATGAAATTCTCTATTGTTTTGTATGTACTGTTCCCAAAGAACCAAAGCCAAGGGAAATAATCAAGCTCCATTCCCTTCCCTACTCCAATTGCTCTTACGATAGTTTCATCCAGCTCTGCAATAGTTTTGATTTCATCTTCGTCTCTCATAGCCTCTCCAAATAACTGAGAACAATGATAATTTCGATAATGATAATTTGGGATATTATTTGTTAATAAAACATTTCAATTCAAGTATTTTTTAAAAAGCTAGAAAAACGATAACATATCATATTTATTTACTGAGTTAACAGCGTTGAATTTCCACTCTATACAGACTGTGCTATTCAAAAACAAGCGGTGTGGAAATCATGTGCGCAAGATGCGGTCGATATTAACGGTCATTATTGAATTTGATTGCGTGATATTTCACCAACTAAGGCATGTTGGGAACTCAATCATATTCATACATGTGTACAGGTCCCCTAATAAAATGGAAATTTTGTAAATAGGCATGTAGTTCGTTCTATAGCAACACATCAAGCAATAATAGTCTCTTCAAAATGCAAATAATTGCAGCTGTTTCACAGCACAGACAATATTCGTTCAATATTGGGGATCGAGATGACCAAGGCTGTAAACTGTAATAAACCAGCAATTTCACATTCTTTGATATGGAGCAAGGATGAATGACTAGTACGTCGCTAAAGAATGAAGAATACAACTATAGACAAAATTTCCCTTTTATTAGGTATCCTATACGTAAAATGGATGACTATAATTGAGTACCCAACATACCTTAATACCATAATTCAAAAATGACCGATAATATCCTCGCCTTGCGCACATGATATCCGCATAGCTTGTTTTCGTATAACACAGTCTGTATAGTGTGATCTCGCTCCACTTAAATGCATCCTATCTCAGCATTCAAAGGAACATATATAAATTCAGAACCAGGGACATCATATTAATTGTGATATCGCTGTTTTCCGTTTCAAAAATTGATGTTCATCAGTCAAATTCAATGTGATGATCTTCGACCTTTTAAAAATACATTATCTTGGATACTAATCTGCATGTTATTTTGCGTTGTAAACTTTTAGAAAATTTTGAAACCGCCATTGAATGACCTTATTTGTCTGTTGATTTGACCAATCAGGGGCGATGTGAATTCTTAATACAGATTTAAAGTATAGACATATATCTTCTCTGAACCCTTGCACTGGGGATGAACTGGAAACGAGGGAGGTTTTGCCTCGTATCAAAATGGCGGCGTGTGAAAAAATTTCATTCGGTAAGATTTTTGTATTTTACAATTTTTGTGCTTTTACCCTTCAAATTAAAACTTAATATTTGGCAAGTAAATAGTTCATAAGTTCCGGTTTTATAATATGATTACAAATTAGAAATCAATACTGGCATCGCTGAGATATTTACATATCAATTCTCTCACTTAGGAAACGAGGCATGTTTCTCAAGGAAACGAGGCAGCTATATAACATTCTTAAGAATGAAACGAGGCAACCTTACTTCCTGCGAAAGCTATTGGATTTTGATATAATAGCTTTCCCACGGAGCATTTGGACAGCTCAATGATCGTGACCTTTGAAATCGAATTAAGTCGATCCGCGGCTTACATTTGGTCTCTAACTGTGTCTTACATCAGTATCATCAATCCGTGTAAGTATCGGAGCGCTGGAGTACTTCTTTTTCGATCAAGACTTGTAATTGTTAGTCGAGTGAATCGTTTTACTGCCAAATTCCAATATGGCGGTTTCTGCTCGGACATTTTCGTAAATCTCCGGAGGTTGTCCGAACCTAACTAATTCTCAAAATTCATTTCGTTCGTTGCGTATCTCGCACCTAGCAAACCGCCATATTGGAAATAGGTCTAAAAAACTTTCACTCGATGAACAATTTACAAGTCTTGATCGAAAAAGAAGTACTCCAGCGCTCCAATACTTACACGGATTGATGATACTGATGTAAGACACAGTTAGAGACCAAAAGTAAGCCGCGGATCGACTTAATTCGATTTCAAAGGTCACTATTGATGAGCTGTTCACTTCTCCGTTTGAGAGCCATAAGTTTCAAAATCTAACATGGCTCTCGAACCGAGTAAAGGCAACCATATTTAATTAAAAATGTTTTGTTTTTATTACAGAACGGGGCCTACAAAAAGAAGCGTCCCTGTTCAAATGCTATTTCTGTAACACAGGAAACGACAACATTGCTGATATTGTATTCCATATGATGCAACAGCATGATGGTAATCTCTCTGTACGGAAACGAACGTTAGATGAGAAAACAGGTTCATTTGTATACACGTCTCATAATTTTGGCGTTGCCATTGAACGTGTAAGAACGCTTAAGAAGGAAGGGCATACTGTGATGATAAATTCTGAAATTTTTGGGAGTGGTGACTTAGACCATGTCTTGAGACATCACCCGTTGTGAACACGCATAACACCCCAGTCACATTTGTCGCACGGCGGACATAAGTCGACCGCAGAACAATTAAATCGGTGAATTTATGCGGCGAGCGTAGAAAAACTACGCTAGCCTTGCGGCCTCCGTACGGCGAGTGCAGATTTTTACAGACCGCGGGGAAGGCGTAGAAATTATAACTCGGAGTTATAATATTTGTTCATTTCTGAGGTCCCCATAGAAATCAACTGGCTCAACAAGATTGAATCATTATTTGTCAATATTTCACGATCACTTTTCATTTGATATTACATCCTAACACTATGAATAACATTTATAAATTGTCTTGATGTAAATAAAATGAAAAAAAGTAATATTTATCAACAAAAATTTAAAATTCACCGTGCGGCTGCCGTGGGAAATGTGACTGCAAAAGTATGAGAGCGCAGAAATTCTACGGCAAGCGTAGAAAAGCTACTGGCCGCAGAAATGATAGACCGCAAGGTCGCCGGAGGAAATGTGACTGGGGTGTTAGTCATGCAATCGGTGTTAAATGGTGAGCGGTCTCGTTTAGGGGACCTGGGAGACATAGTCTAGTGTCTAAGCTTCCCCGAACCACCGTCAGTGATTATGTGACAGGTAGAGTATATTTAGTTGATCCTAGGATGATGACATTCGTGGTGTCACTCCTATTGTCATTTTTGTAGAGAAAGGCCGGACATCACGATCAAGTAGTGGATCTTGTCCTTACTTGTGAGTCACAGTAAGGGCCCAAGATGTTTCGAACTCATGGTTGGTGGTCCATGATATGTTCTTCATCAGCAGCCTAATGAGGGGGAGGGGGATGGGTTGTCCCCGATTTGGTTTTGTTTTGGGATTGTCTCCAGTTGGAGACAGTTAGTTGGGTACTAAGTAAATTGGTATCATAGTTTGGTTGTGTTTGTAGATTGTGCCTGATTGTGTTTAATAGTGTAGTTTAATTGATATAGTATTGGGTTGTGACTGACTCTGTTACGTTGGTTTGTGTCAGGTTGTGTTGTGATGATTCAACAATGGGTTGATTTGAATTTGGTCTCGTTGGCTATGTTGTATTGTGTTGGTTTGTTGTTTGGTTGTGCTCCATTGTGTTAGTTTGATAGTCGATTGTGTTTTGTTGGTGGTTGTTTGTCTGGTTGAGCCTGGTTGTGTTGTGTAAGTTTGGTATCGGGTTGTGTCTCATTAAGTTATGTTAATTTCAAAGTGGTTGTGTTATGTTGTAATTGTGTTGTGCTGGTCGGTAGCGGGTTGTGCCCAGTACGTCGGATTCATCCATGTTGTCTTGCTCTGAAAGATAAATGACCAGTGTAGCGCTTTATGAACAATATGGTTATTCTTTTTAACTCTTACATATATAATCATGTATATCGTGTAAAACGTAATCGGTCGTATGTGACCAGAACGGTGGAAATAAGATCATTAAATGTAGACACTATCACAGAAAGAATAGTTGCCTCGTTGCAAGTCAAACATTGCCTCGTTTCATTGTTACAAAATGTAGACAGGTGCCTCGTTTCCTAAGTGAGAGAATTGAAATGTAAATATCTCAGCAATGTCTGTATTGATTTCTAATTTGCAATCATATTATAAAACCGGAACTTATAAACTATTTACTTGCCAAATATTAAGTTTTAATTTGAAGGATAAAAGCACGAAAATTGTAAAAAACAAAAATCTTACCGAATGAAATTTTTTCACGCGCCGCCATTTTGATACGAGGCAAAACCTCCCTCGTTTCCAGTTCATCCCCAGTGCCTTGGTGTTTCTCCTTCTTCAATTCACTATTATCTAATTCGGAAATGTCATGATGTTATCATTAATCACTTTAAGTATTTTCAAGTAAATTGAAAGTATTTGTATACTTTTTCGTACTAGGACATCATGACATTTTGATACTAACGCGTGAAACCGCCATTGAATGACCTTATTTGTCTGTTCATTTGACCAATCAGCGGCGATGTGAATTCTTAATACAGATTTAAATTATAGACATATATCTTCTCTGAACCCTGGGTGTTTCTCCCTCTTGAATGCACTATTATCTAATTCGGAAATGTCATGATGTTATCATAAATCACTTTAAGTATTTTTAAGGTAAATTGAAAGTCTTTGTATACTTTTTAGTATTAGGACATCATGACATTTTGATACTAACGCGTATACGACTGAAATAAAAATTGTTTATGCTTAAACAAAGTGTAAGATTGAATGAGTAAATTAGAAATCAGATTAGCAATCTTTTTTTAACTTAGTATAGGAAATACAATTATTATTTCAAAATCTATGCATATTATGTAGCTTACATATTGAAAATATCTACAACCTGATGGATGTTCCAAGAAGTTTTCATTTTTTTAAATAACATTTATTTTCCTTTAAGATTAACTTACAATTATACATTAACATCAATCATACAAAATAAACATACATGTCTACAAACTTAATATCTTTTGTTTATGAAACTCGAGATTAGCAATCAATGATCAGAACTATCGTACCTGGACTGGGATGGGGGAAATTCATTCACTTACAAAGAGCCTCATAAACTGCTTTCGATCACATGTATGTTACAACTTGGGCTTAGCAGGAGACGTTTTGTTGATAGCTATCTTGATGAATTAATTTGACCTTCAGTTGTATTCTTGTTTACACATGTTCACAATCCAAACCAACCGCTAAGTATATGAATACTTCACCCTCAATTACATTTGCTCTACGCCGGGTGTACGGTGGCTGAAGCTTCACAAAATCGATATAGACATCGAACTGCTATCTTATGCAGCATATTTCTCTCGATTTTGGGGAGCTACGATCGCCGTAAGGTTAACGTAGGTCAAACTTGACTGAGGACTTACCAATACAGTGAGGATCTTTATTATGTACCTGTA